CTACGATTCCTTTCTAAAGAACAAATATCCGGTATTCCAGCTATGAAATACACGATTTTCAGACCGTCTATATCTTTAAGATCATCATATGCATATTTGCACAAAGTTTCCAATTTCCCTCCAGGCACTACACGTAACGTTTTACAACGAACTTTGCCTTCTAGAACTTTTCCTCTACTAGACGTGTAAATATATGTATGCTGATTCATTTCTGTGAAACAAACAAAAATGAAACTAAATAGATATAAAACTAAATTCCAAATATCAATAAAAAAAATATTCAAAAAGTTAAAACATTAAAATACTAGTATCTAACATAATCTTGAAAACGGACTGGCGGTTTCACTTGTCTACTCGACCGCCGCACTTGAATTTCAGACTCTGGTTGGACATAATCTAATGCGCTCGGCGCATGACTATCGGATAAGCTTGACGCTTGATTATCAGAATTGGTTTCTGATTCACTACTGACGGGGACTGGGTTGCTAAACTCAGATACAACTAAAATACTTGACCTCTGACCATAAGATTGTTCAATACTACTGTCAGGACTACTAGATCGCTGACTTACTTCATCTAGATTCAAAATGCCAGGATGAAATTCATCCGCTAAAGGGTTAAGAGGCGGTACTATATCTACTCGACGCCTCGGGCATTCGTGAACTAAAAACTCTTCTTCTGAATCAGAATCAGAATTATCAGATGAAGCATTTGAACCAAATTGGTCGTCAGTAGTGATTTCGTCCACTGTTTTATCAGAGTCTAAAACTTTGTCTACTAATACAGACGGACAATCTTTCTTCTTTGAAACTACATTTCTCTTACTTTGAGAGTTATCAATACACTGAGGGTTTAAAATGGGAATGGAAGTAATGGGAAGTAACATATTCCTATGTACTGTCTTGCGGCCTCGACCGTGTTCCTGTCTGATGATATAAACCGGTATATCAGAGTCGGGTTTTGAAACTATAACATAAGGTTGTTTACCCCACTTATTTTCTAATTTATGCTTCCCTCTAGACGCTACATTTTAAATAGAACTCTATCACCAGGCTCCAGTACTGACTGTCTGACTTTCAAATCATATCGCGTTTTATGACGTCTAGCGTTTTTCAAAAGGGGATCTCTGAGACCTGACCACAACTTTGATCTAAGCATGTCGTTTTTAGCCTGTGAGTTAATTTGACCTTTTTCAGCAGCTTTTTGGGCAATATCTTCAAGTCTCATACCATAATCAGCAACAGACTGACCTTGTTTCTGAGTTTCCATGTAAAACTTTTGAATCAATGCTTCACTACTGAACACATTTCCATATATCCCATCTAATTTTTCAATAATCTGTGTGGGTGTAGCCCCATCTGGGAGTGATAACAATAAACCCCTAGCTTTACCCTTTAGGGACCCTCTTATACACTGCAATAATATAGTATCTGTATAATTACCTTCCCGTATTATACATTTAACTTCGAACTTCCATACGTCAAAAAACACTTCACTCTTTTCTTCCCCAGAAAATACAGGTATCTTGGGTTTTGCATATGAAGAGTTTGAACAAGAAACGGTTGTATTATTACCAAAATCTGCAGCATAAGTTGCCACTCTTGCTATAGACGAAGACCTAACAGGTGCCAAAGGAGGCTTAGTATGAGCAGTAGTTCCCTTTATAGGAGTACTATGTCCAAAAGATACATGCTTCTCACTACTTAATTTATCAAACTCATCTGATGTTACAACTCTAAAGCTTGTATTATGATTCAAAAACTCAATCATTTTCTGAACCTGTTCTTCTGAAACCTTAGGTTCAGTTTTTAAACCTTGTTTTGACTCCGCTTCAGCCATCACTTCAGTGTACTTCAACCAACGACAAAAACAACACCAAATAAACAAAAAAAAACAAGGACAATACACATGAATGAAATGAAAATGATGTAATGATGATGAACTTACTCATATGTCTGTGTCAATGCAAGTCGCTTTCTTAAGTCGCTGCTGTAACTATTAGTGCGTAACTTGTTAAATCAGGTGCGTGCTTCTATTCATGCACAAACAATAATCAAATCTGTAAAATACAGTAAAGATGATAAAATATATTCAAACAATAAAACACAATTTTTAAATCAATAAATATTTATAACATTTGTTTTCATAAATGAATGTCAAATAAATACTACTACAGTTCACCGGCAACAGTTGTAAAATTCTCCATCCGTACGTTGATCGAATAAATTCCTTCAGTTGTCTAGGTTGTCACGTGATAAAGCAATACACATTCACCTTCACAGGTATGCTGACCGTGCATGTTTCAGTTGAAATTTGTAAATTGACTTTCACTAATAATGAATAACATCAAACATATTTACATGATATAGTATGAATTTCCCGGTAGATATGCGCATTATAAGAAATATGAATTTCAAATATACCTTTCAAACATCAGGGTTTCACAGTCGTAAATTCACAATATACAAAGCAGTTGCTGACATCAAAGTTGACAAATATGGTTGTTGTCTCACCATGAAGTAGCGGTACGTTGTTCCGGAACTAATTTCTTGAACTTGACTGTATAATATTATAAACGGCAAACGCCAAATACTGGTTATGACGGACCGGGACTTCACAAGATCATTCTAGTTATAAAATGTAGAAATCTACGTTGTCAAAACCATATAAAGTTGGACGATCTCGGTGGAACCTCCAAAATGTCGCAGGAAAAATGGGACACCAATAATACATCGACTTGGGATGAGGAATAAGTCACCATAAACCCATAAACTTGTCGTGGTAATGCGTGTGGGCCATTTCTGCATTAAATGAGTCGTCCAATTTATATATACTTTATTATATAATCTGCAGCGGTGACTTTAGTCTGCCGCCTCCCCGATTGTAATAATGACCAGTGACTAACTCGAAAAGTGAAATTGTATTAATATATATATGGTTAGTATTGCCGCGCTTTGAGCTCATGCATAACTCATGCTATTTGAATATAAATATATATCATTTAAATAATAATAAAGAATCGCTTTACCTTTCTATTGTACTAATTTAAATATTCGGTACGCAAAGCAAAACATAGCGTACAAAGCTATAGTTTATTTCAAAATACGCAGCGAAAAACTATTTTCGTCAATCGTCAAGAATCAAGAATATGAAATATGAATATGATATGAATGGGAAACATACAACACTGAAAACACAAATAATATGAAATGCTTTATAATGAACAAAATGGATAAATATATCCGGTGACATTCATTTTACAAAATATGGACTGTTGGGGAAATTTATTAATGATTATTAACGTCTCCTCGGAGACGTTATTAAGAATTGAACGATGGACAATCTGCGGGCTGAATGCTTCTTACTACCTGATTGGAAGATATTACTGAGACGTGAATAATTAAAGTTCGTTGATTGGTTGGGACAATCCAAACCTAGTAAATGTCTTTCAATCCCGTAGAGTATCGGATTTGTACTCTCTACTTTAGCAATTAGATTTTGCCTAGTCACAAATCATGCATGTCGATACACAGGTAACCTTTATCTATAAATAGCCGAATCTCCTGATGTTTTGTTAACACGCACATGATTGTTTCACATTCAATCCATGAATCCAGTCGTTCACTGTTACGTACATTCTATATATACATGAAAAACATAAGAAAACTTGAACATGGTTATGATATTTCATGATGAGAGAATGAATTGTTTGACAAACATGTAAAGCATTTACAACCATGATTTAAAGAATTAGTACGATAAGGACCTTATTTGACACACAACATTAAACGATATACTACGGCTTCATAACGTGTGTGGTAAAATTTGTTGATTAATATGCAAGGCTATTCTGACTGAATTAATCTACAAAGCGAGAAAACTTTCCACTTTTATCAGCTAAGAGACGGCTAGCTTTTTTCGAAAAGCTATTTATACCTTTATACCTTTATACCGTTATCTTCGGGTCCTTAAAATAAGCCAAAGGCTTCTACTGACCCCTCATCTTGGATTGTCGTAATGCAATTTCTCCTCTCATAATAAACGCATAATAATATATTTATATATATTATACTTATAAAAATAGAACTTATTTAGGTGTGCGCAGCTTAACAATTAACATGAACATATAAATTTTTATGGGTTCCAATTCTCGCCATTTAACGCTGACTTAAATTCATTCAAAGTCTTTGCCGTCACTGTAAAATCTGACAGGTTATTCCACTGATCCACTACTCTAATTGAAAAAGTATTTAGTCTATGTCGTCGTCTTACACTTTTTCTTAAAAGAGTTTTAATGAGTGACCTCTAGTATTATTAGATGGTGCTAAAGTAAATAAGCTCATCCAGTTTATATCATCTATACCGTGCAACGCTTTATATACTTGTATCACATCATTTCTATCCCTACGATATTCCAAGGTTGGCAATCCCAATGAGCGTAATCTATCTTCATAACTTAAATGATTTATATTCTTTACGAGTTTAGTGGCCCTTCTTTGGACAGATTCCAATTTACGAATATCTTTTTTAAGGTGCGGAGACCAAACACATGTAGCATATTCCAACAGTGGACGAACAATTGACTTATAAAGAGTAAGAAACATATCCTGATCCATGTAGTCAAAGGAATGATGAATAAGAGATAAAACTCTCTGTGCTTTATTAACAATAGTACTAATATGTTTTTCAAACTTTAAATTTGACTCGAAAGTTACTCCAAGATCCTTTTCTTCATTCACCTTAGATAACGCAATAAAATTTTCTGTATCATCCAACATGGTATAACGATATTGTTGATCATTGTCAGGATTAATATGTAATACTTTACATTTAGCAGCATTAAATTTCAATTTCCACGTATTAGACCATTACTTGTGATACGTGCTTGTCTTCCTAGTTTCTGTTCTAAAAAATCGATTTCACTTTTGGTTCTTTTCTGTCCATTCTAGAAGTCGTTCTTTTCGGTACGTTGTTCGATTTATTTTCCCGCTAAGCATTTGTTGACAAATGAAAAGTAGACTCGTACTTTTATATTTATCCGTTTTATCTGTTTATCCTTTGTTATTTTCTAACTTGTTACAGTGTTTAGAACAAAACTCTTAAAACGTGTCACAGGTAATTATAGACAGAATTCTGGGCATGTCATTGAAGTAAAGAGGGAAGTCTTTCACAGGTGCGAATCCATGATTTTGTAAAAAAGGGGGAGGGCCTGGCAAGCCAACGTTTGGAGTGATACTTATAAAAAGTCTATGCTATCATATATGAAGCTCCATAAGGGGCCTGACTCCCTAAATCTGACTCTGTTTCAGGTTATGTTTGTACAGTTGAACAGGTTCTTGGACATGGGTTGAAATACAAATTATATTTTCTCTGAGGGAGATATATTTTACAAGCCAATGTTTCGAAAATCAATTTTTAAAGCTGTATTACCTTATACCACTCTTTCTCACTTGATGTCCCATGTTTAAAAGTTGAAATCATCAGTTTTTTAAAGAAATAATGGGCCTCAATCCTCAATCTTAAGGCCTGTTGGCACGAATTTTCCCAATGTGCAGGTTTTCTCTTTGGTGCGTTTTTCTCGGCGTATTTTCTTCTCTGTGCTTTAATTTAGTATGCGCTGGTTAAGATTGGGATTGAGGAACAGCAGTATCAAATCTGCCTGTTCTGTCAATGTAATGTGCCACTGTTTGTAGTTTGGCTTTTGTCTCTTCGGTGTTCTCGCCGTCTAGTCTCGTTAGCATAGTAGCTAAATTCAGGTTATTATTATTTCCTGCTCTGGGAAGGACAGAGCAGGAAATAATAGGCACTGGCTATGATTACCCGCAAAAAGTAACAATATACAATTATGGCCCGTAGAGAAGGTGAATATCCAAAATTGTCAACATGAAAAGGTTAATTCACTGAAGAAGCAGCCAGAAGTAAAATAATTTTTTAGGGTTGACAACTTTGGATATTCATCGCTTCTAAGGGGCCACAAATGTTTTATTATATCAAAGTAACAGTGGAAGGGCCTTTTAAAAAATTGAAAAAACACGTAACCTACTGTAGTCTGTATCATATCAAACACAAGTAAACGTTCAAAAATAAATTTGTGTCTTAGAATTTCTCATATGTATAACAAAGGTAGAATCTTTTTGTGAAATGTTGATGGCCCTGAAAAGGACCGTTTATAAGAGATATCCTAAGCACAAGATGCATTTCCAAAGCCTTGTTTCCTCGTCACTTGATGGGCTTCCTGTAACTTGAAGCAAACTCCATACAGCGTTATTGTTCAGGTCATACTTCCCTTTCTTTACAAAGTAAATTTGGCAGCATGATGTCACCACTGTTTCGAAGTTTGAAGTTGAACGTTGCCATTTTGTTTACTTACATCTGTGACGTCATTATCATGGGAGATAACTCATGTACAATTCAAGAAACTCGAAAGGTTATTCATCGATGAATAATAGGGTTATTCACTGCTGGTGTAAATTTTTTTGGTTATTCGTCCCTCCTTGCAATTAAATGAAAATTAACTGAATTATTCCATGTCACATGATAACGCGTTACCCAATAGAATTGTTTATAATATATGTAAGGTATATTAATAAGAAATAATTATTGTTACTTCCAAGACTAATTGCTGAATTGTATTTCCAAACAGGGACCCGATTTCATATGGAAATTGCAGGTAACAATAACATACTTTTTTATTGTTACCTGCAACATTTAATCAGACAGGCACTGATCTAAAAAAATTTGTAAGGGTTCCGCGGAACCCAGTGTCTCGCCTACTTTTGCTGTTAATCGCAGGCTCAACAAAAATGAGGAAAAAAAATCAATAAAAATATTCCTTTAGATACTATCTTTTGATTGTAAGAAGCTTCTGTCAAAGTTTGGTATAAATCCAGGATAGTTTATGAATCTAATAAATGTTTAAAAAACTTTAACTGCAGACTGTATTTAATGTTAACTGGAAGAAAAACTAAGTCCATTTATTAGTAAAATATGGATAAACAGGTACAAATTTTAACAAAATTTCCTTCTGGATACTAGCTTTTGATCATAAACAAGCTTTTGTCCAAATTTGGTACAAATCCAGGATAGTTTAAGAAAGTTATTAAAATTTTAAAAACTTTAACCAGAGTAAAAATATTGTTTCCTGGCAGAAAAACTAAGTCCATTTATAAGTAAAATACGGAAAAAATGAAATTTTTTTTTTAACAAATTTACTTCTGGATACTATCTTATGATCATAAACAAGCTTCTGTCCGAGTTTGGTACAAATCCAGGATAATTTAAGAAAGTTATTAAAATTTTAAAAACTTTAACCACAGAGTGAATGTAATGTTTCCTGGCAGAAAAACTAAGTCCATTTACAAGTAAAATACGGAAAAACAGGAATTTTATTTTTACAAAATTTACTTCTGGATACTATCTTATGATCATAAACAAGCTTCTGTCCAAGTTTGGTAGAAATCCAGGATAGTTTAAGAAAGTAATTAAAATTTCAAAAACTTTAACCATAGAGTGAATATTTGTGGACGCCGCCGACGACGACGCCGACGGAATGTAGGATCGCTGTCTCGCTTTTTCGACTTAAGTCGAAGGCTCGACAAAAATGATTTGCAAGTAATCTGTAAAGTAAGTTTAAACAATATATATATGATGTAAAAAACATTAACCAGAGATTAAACTCCGTATTGACCAATATGACAGTCACTTTGTCCATAGGGGGCCAATTAGAACAACTCCCATTTTTAGCTCACCTGGCCCGAAGGGCCAAGTGAGCTTTTCTCATCACTTGGTGTCCGTCGTCCGTCAGCCGTCGTCCATCATCGTTAGCTTTTTACAAAAATCTTATCCTCTGAAACCACTGGGCCAAATTTAACCAAACTTGGCCAAAATCATCATTAGGGTATCTAGTTTAAAAAATGTGTCCGATGACCCTGCCAACCAACCAAGATGGCGGCCATGGCTAAAAATAGAACATAGGGGTAAAATGTAGATTTTGGCTTATATCTCTGAAACCAAAGCATTTAGAGTAAATCTGACAGTAAACTGATTATCAGGTCAAGATCTATCTGCCCTGAAATTTTCAGACAAATCTGACATCCTGTTGTAGGGTTGCTGCCCCTGAATTGGTAATTTTAAGGAAATTTTGCAGTTTTTATACGACCGCAAAAAAATTTTGTGGTCGTATATTGGTATGACGTTGGCGTCGTCGTCGTCCGGCGTCGTCGTCGTCGTCCGAATACATATTGGTTTTCGCACTCTAACTTTAGTTTAAGTGAATGGATCTTTTTGAAATTTGACCATAAGGTTAAATACCACAAAAGGAAGGTTGGGATTGATTTTGGGGGTTATGGTACCAACAGTTAAGGAATTAGGGGCCAAAAAGGGGCCAAAAATGAGCATTTTCTAGTTTCCAGACAATAACTGTGGAACGGTGTATGGATCTCTCTGAAATTATACTACAAGTTTCCATACCACAAAGGGATGGTTAGGATTTGCTTTGGGGGGTTATGGCTCAAACCGTTTAGGAATTAGGGGCAAAAAAGGGGGAAAAACAAGGTTGTCCTGGTTAATGGACAAATACTTTAGTACAAAACATAATTTAAAGCAGTGTAAGGGAGATAAATCAAATACATCATTGAAATTATCTCCCTTACACTGCTTTTAAATTATGTATAAAGTAATGGTTAATGAACAATAAAGATAATCTAAAACAGTGTAAGGGAGGTAATCCAAATACAACATTTTGGTTACTTCCCTTACACTGCTTTTAAATTATGTTTAAAGAAAATAGATTAAGTTAGCACTATGGTAAATTTAAATGGGTAATTATGGTTGCCAACTCCATTGGAAATTTGAATTGAGATTATGACCATATCTTGAGGGAAAGAATTTTTTTGGGGGAAAAAGGGGGGGGGGGGGGTAAAAAGAAATTGTGGGGGGTCAATTTTTTCTCATTTCAGATTTCAGAAATTAAAAAGAATTATTCTTCAAATATTATTTTTTTTTCAAATTTCAAATATTAAAAAATTTCAAGAAGTAATCTTTAATTGCACAGTATGGCGCATTAGATTTGTAAAATCTTTGATCACATTTATTTATTTGTTATGCCGAATCTAACAGTGTATTTAGATTTTTAATTTTTGGGTCCAGTTTTCAAATTGGTCTACATTAATGTCCAAAGGGTCCAAAATTAAACTTTGTTTGATTTTAGCAAAAATTGAATATATGAGGTTCTTTGATATGCTGAATCTAAACATGTATTTAGATTTTTGATTTTTGGCCCAGTTTTCAAGTTGGTCCAAATTGGGGTCCAAAATTAAACTTTGTTTGATTTCAACAAAAATTGAATATATGGGGTTCTTTGATATGCTGAATCTAACCATGTATTTAGATTTTTTATTTGTGGACCCCGTTATCTAATTGGTTCATATTGAGGTCAAAAGGGTCCAAAATTAAACTTTGTTTGATTTCATCTAAAATTGAATTATTGGGGTTCTTTGATATTCCAAATCTAACCGTGTATTTAGGTTTTTTATTTTGGGTCCTGTTTTTTAAATTGGTCTACATTGAGGTCCAAAGGGTCCAAAATTAAACTTAGTTTGATTTTAGCAAAAATTGAATTCTTGGGGTTCTTTGATATGCTGAATCTAAACATGTGTTTAGATTTTTGATTATGGGCCCAGTTTTCAAGTTGGTCCAAGTTGGGGTCCAAAATTAAACTTTGTTTGATTTTAACAAAACTTGAATATATGGGGTTCTTTGATATGCTGAATCTAACCATGTATTTTGATTTTGGACATTGGACCATAATAGGTAAATTAAAAAAATTCAAGTTCTTAGACCACATTCTTTCTGTGTCAGAAACTTATGCTGTGTCAAATATTTAATAACAATCCAAATTCAGAGCTGTATCAAGCTTGAATGTTGTGTCCATACTTGCCCCAACTGTTCAGGGTTCGACCTCTGCGGTCGTATTAAGCTGCGCCCCAGCGAAGCATTTTATTGGTTATTATCTTGAATATTATTATAGATAGAGATAAACTGTAAACAGCAATAATGTTCAGCAAAGTAAGATCTACAAATAAGTCGTCATGACCAAAATTGTCAGTTGACCCTTT